TTCCGAGGCTTGTTGTGTGCATATACTGAATGTGTAGGTTTTGGAAGCCAACAGTGTTGGCTTTAATTGAATTTCATTATCAGCTCAATAAATGACCCATGGGGATTTGAGTAAAGTAGTTAGAATGGAAGACTCAACAAAAATAACATGCTTTGGGGGCAGCTATGGGGTTACACTGAAGTCATAAGTAGTAAGGAAACCATTTCTCTGACTCATTGCCTCTGTGCTGTACAGAGGCCAGTCATCCACCTGCTAAGCACTGCTGTATGTATACGCCTGCCTGTGTATCTGGCTCCTTCTCCAAAGTGAAGCATGTCCGAAGGGTTGTACTGTTTCTGTCAGGCGTGACCCCTGCTCCTGTCTACTGTCAATCAGAAGCCAGAATGTTGCTAAAACCATGTTATCTCAAGATGCACTGAAAAGTTCTTGCTCTACCTTAAAATTCTCTTAGAAGAGTCCACAAAGCAAGAGGACTTCATTCTCCATTGTCTTATGTAAGTTTCTGGTGGAATGTCTCTTTCAGTTTTTACTTGAAAGCCCTGATCACACACTGGGGTGAGGAGGACAGTTCTAGGAAGAAGATGAATTTCTGGCCAGTGCTACCTAGAGTTTGCAAATTTTTCCTCCCTCAGATGACAAGCCTCAAACTAAGCCATGCTTCCTGGACCAACTATTGACAGGAGTACTTCCTTGGCAGGTGCCCCTCCCCAAGCAAATACATCTGTGTGGAGTCCCCCTCCCAAAGTTGAATAAGAAACACCAGGAGAATAGAATGCCGGCAGCAACCCTCACTGGAGATTCTCTGGACACCTCCCACACTTCCTCTCCATGGCCTATTTTCGTTGTTGCTTTTTGGTTTTATCTTTTTTTTCCCTACACAATCAAGACCCTTTTAGTGAAACAACCACAGAAGAAAATACTAAGCAAAAAATACTTTTCTGTAATATTTTAAAATGAGCAGATACAATTCAGAGTGGGACTGCATAGATTTCATGATGTCTTTGAAGTTGAACTGCTGCTAAATTGAATGTAGGCTTTATCAGACCAAAGCTTAACATCTGGCCTGCTTGTGTTTTCTCTGTAGTAAGAGTGCTCAGAGCTCTGCAGAGAAGACAGTGGCCAGGTGTTTTCTGCTGTAGCAGGGCATTGCTCTCTTCCTCACCCTCCTCAACCTGCCCTTAAACACAGTCCCTTGGACCTGGTCATGTGTGGACACAATTGGTTTTAAAACTGAAAACATGGCAGCTGTGTAAGATACACTTAAATACTTACATTTAAGAAGGAATTTAATTTCAGCACCAGATACTGTCTGTAGTGAATGAATGTTTGTTAGTCAGAACAAACAATGAATTAAACACTCAGCATCGCTGGCTTTGCCAATAGGACTAGCCCGAGATGACTGCTTAGGAAGCGGGTTTACTGGCCCAGGCTGCTTTCCTTCCTAACCTCCTACTTTCTGCACAGCCGATGTCATGTGGGACCTCTAGAAGCTTCCTCAGGGTGTTTGTGTCTTGTGAGCTTACAAAGTTGAGGCAAATGGAGACCTGGAGACTGCTCAGTTCTTTAAAAATGCCCATTGGCTCTGTGTGTGTGTCTCCAGCAGTGGACAGGTTCAGGGTTGAAGAGGAATGATTGAAGGGCTTCATCCATGAAAACCCTGTTGCTTGTAATGTAATGTTTGTTTCTCACTTGTGTAGAGACAATTTATTTATCTTCAGACAGAAACAATTGTGTTCCCGTGTCCTGCTCATGTGTTCACAGGCCTCATACTTCTTTAACATGGTTGCTCTGTAGAGTTAAATGTTGCCTGTGAGTGTGAAGAGGAAGCTTTGAGTAACTGCCAGGATGGTGATAGGAGGACATTGTTTTGCAGGGAGTGTGGCAAGGATGAGACTTCAAAGGCTAGAGGCACCAAAGATGCTGACACGCAGCTGAGGAGGACCTTAGAGAAACTAGGTCTGGTGAATGCCCCTGGTTCTTTCAATGCTTTCCATTTCCTGTTGTCTGATTTGAGGCCCAGTGATGTTGTAAGTGGCTCTTTAGATGTTGTAGCACCAGGGACTCTCAAACAGATGTTTCACAAGGCTGAGCTATGTCGTGTCATGTCCACAGGCTATTAATCGGAGCCTTGGGTCTGTGTAGTATAGTTTCTCTGCTTGACTTAATTTTTTTTTTATTTTTTCCAGTTCACTTAAGAATTTTCCATTTTGGGGGGAGCCCATTCCCCATAAAGGGATACTCTCTCAGCCTAGACACATGGAGGAGGGCCTTGGCCCTGCCCCGAATGATGTGACAGACTTTGAAGATCCCCCAGGGAAGGTCTCACCCTCCCTGGGGAGCAGAAGGAGGATGGGATGGAGGGTTGGTGGGGGGCATGGGAGGATGGGAGGGAGAGGGAACTGGGATTGATATATAAAATAAGATTGTTTCTAATTTAGATTATAAAAAGGAAAAAAAGAATTGTCTATTTTAACACTACAGTTATAGTTGTAGATATGGAATTAGGAATAGATGTAGATATGGTGAGGACATTAAATTTAGGATCTCAGTCATTCTGGACAAACTCTGTGTCGCTGAGCTATAGCCCAGATCTACTGTGGCTATCTTTTAGGAATGTAAGTCTGATTTCCAGCTTGGAAACATCCATTGGCCTCATTCCTCATGTAAGGAGGTGAAAGCCATGCAGGTTTCCTAGGATCTGCTTTGAATCCCTCTTCTTTCTCTCTCTCTCTCTTTCACATCTCTTTGTCTAAGCTGAGTTGAAGCATGGGACCCCTCCAGCAGTCTCAACTTTCTCCCATCTTCAGATCTTTGCTTGTGCTGTTTCCTATGCTCAAAACACTTCCTGTGGCCTTTCCCTGCCTCTTCATTCCCTTCATTATTCGTGGTCTTAGTTGTGATATCACATCCTCCAGACATCCTTTCCTAACATCATCTTCTGCCATCTTCCCATCTCGAACCCATGACATCTTTCTTGCTTGCACACTTAGAGACAGTTACCACATTATATTTAATTACTTCCTCATCTCTCTCCTGCTGTATGCTATAATCTTAAACAACAAAAGTGGTTTCCTGTTCATTTTTGAGTTCAGACAGTTGGGTAGGCACTCAGCACATACTATTTGACAACGAGTTGCCAATGTGAACTTTTCAGCTCAATATGTATGATTTTTAGGAGGGTTTGAGTATGGCGTACCACTGCTGTCCAATTCAGACATGGCTATGCCATGCTCACTCACTTATTACTCACTCATGTACTGTGGAGCAAACTCTACAGGAATCATGTTAAGACTATGGGACATATTAGGTGTTAAGACTCTGATTTCAATAACCAATTGTATCTAAAGTGTATGCAAACCATGATAGGCTCCCAATTTGGTAGATCCTGAGCTATAAAATTATTTTAAGAGTCAGACAGGGGCAGGTTGATATTTAATACAGCAAAAAAGTATGTCCTGAGGGACAAAACAAAGCTAGCTTTGAGCTTTAAGCACCGTCTTTGTGTTTGGCTTTCGGCAACACCATAGCTGACTACTTTTCATACCTCAGTCTGCTATAGAATCAGAATTCCATTTTACCAATTGGAGCTAAAGAACTCCTGTCTCAATGGAAGTACCCCACATGTCTTTAGTCCTAACTAGGTAGGCAGCTGAGGAAGGGTTGTTTGGTCACAGAAGCCTAGGGAGCAGGAGGAGTAACCTCTTCTAAAACAGGGTGGAGCTTCACATTATTCAAAAAAAAAAAAAAAAAAAAGAAAGGCACCATTTGGGTGGAATCAGATCCGCATTACTAGTTCCTAGCCAATAATTCTCATTTATCTGAATACAGAGATTCAATATTATGATAGCAATACTAAGATTTTTAAAAATTGGTTGTTTTAAGCAGTGAGGTGGTACTCACTGCTTTAAGCAGAGAAAGAGAAATCTTCTCTTTTAAGTCTGACATGCATTGAGGTCTTCATGCTTACCCATTAGGCACACCTTTCTTTTTCCTTTCCTTTTGAGGTAAGTTTTCACCATGTCCACAGACAATTGTTGACCCTACGGCTGGGGAAGATGAATTCCATTCAAGTTCTCAAGGGCATATCTGGCCCTTCCTGCACTCAGCCAAGGGGTGGGGCCTTGTCATCCCCCATCCCATGCTGAGGAAAGCTGGGTCAGGGTGCCTATGGTGATAGAGGAGTGCCTGAGGCAAATAGCCATCCCACCCTGTGGAGGACCAGCTTTCAGGGTTTTCAAATGCTGCAAGAACTCCCTCATGCTTTCTTCTCTTTTAAAATAGAAATGTCACAAGCAAGTCAAGTATATGGGACAGATAAAAGCAGCTTCTGTGGCTGAAGGCAGGATAATGGGAGGGGAGTGGGGACAAGTGTTACTAAGTCCCAGCTCAGCTCCCATGAGTTGTGAGGAAACCAGAGCACAGCCAGCCCCTTTGTAGCCCTGCTTGAACTTTAAGGAAAGGAATGGCTCTTACTGCAGGACATTGCTAAAGCATTGTTCTCTCACAGTGTTCTTTCTAGAGTGATCCGTACACCTTTTTTTCACACATCTTACTTTTAGGAATCCTTGTAATTATTACTATTTTAAGTATAATACTTTTTTTTTTTAGAATTTTGTACATGCATATGATGTGTTTTGATCATACCTTGCAATCATTATTTTTTTCTAGGTATTAACTTTTATTTTTATGTAATGCATGGCTGATGGGTCTTTTCTCATTGGCCACTAGAGAACCCTGAGCAGATTTTGTAGGTCTGCTGGGACAGTTCTTCAGGATTGACCTCCACATATTTTATGAACTGTGGAAACCACACCAGAGATCGTGGTAAATTCTGTACCTTATTTTGCTTTCTTTCTGATATTCACGTTATTTTATTGAATTTTCTACATTACATATTTCTGCACACTATCTAAAAAATCCTTCTGGGAGTAAACTAGGATAAAAATCAGCATATGCATGCATACACATAATTTAGAAAACAACTACGTGGCAACACTCACCTCATTGGGGTGGAATCCATCCACAGGTTCAATAAGCTGCCACGGCTGGCCACCTCTTTTCTGCCACTCCTCTATGACTAGAAAACACACAATTGATGGGTTCCAGATGAGTTTCATGAAGCCAAAGCCAAGGAGCTCATTGCCATCTTCTCCAGTCTCCCCTGCTCTTTTCTTAAATCTTGTGTATGGATGTTTTGTCTGTATGCATATCAGTGTACTACCTGTGTGTTCTTGTGCACATGGGGACCAGAAGAGGGCATCAGATCCCTGCAATGCAAATGGTGATGAGTTGCCATGTGGGTGCTTGGAATTGAACCCTGTTTTTCTGGAAGAGCAGACAGTGCTATTAACCCCGGAGCCATTCTTCAGACCTCTAGCCCTTATTTTTCCCTCATACTGACTTTCTCTGACTGTTGCCTTGGGCTGATCTAGCCACTGTGTAATTTTTTTCTAAGTTCGAAAGCATACATGAAAGGGCTGGGTGAATGTGGTTTGTGTGGCAGGGAGGGCAGGAGGAATCAAGTGAGAGCTCAAATGAGCAGCAACAATTGAAGTCCATCTGATCTTTTCCTCATTCGGTGGGACAGGCCTCTTTGCAGAAGAAAAGATGACATTTTGCTAATATCTCCTTTCACGTGCTGCCGTTTGCAGACACTGCCTACGTGTGTCAAGCAATCACCCCGAACAATCATACAGCGTGTCAGAAATATAATTGCATAAAATTATCTCAACATTCCATTTAGAGATAGCATGGCTCCACAGAAAATATTATGAGCCCCCAAAGTGATGAAAGTAATAAAACTGTCCCTCAACAGGGATAAGAGACTATACACGTCAGTTCCTTCAAGGCAGCAGTACAATTAATTCTATGTTGTAATATCACAAAGCCAATAAGAATTCCTTACAGAAATTGCAATTCCTGGAGAGCCTTCAGAGAGAACCAGCCGAGACTTCTGCTCCTCACGGAACACCTTACTTTCCTGGTATTCATTGAAATCTGCAGTGCAGCTATGATTCCAGTTGTTTTTTTCACCCTATTTTCCAAGTCTCCCCAACCTCAAGGGCAGAGGACTGTACTCTTTCCTTCCCCTTCACTGGAGAAGGATGGAGACACTGTCTGGTGAAGTCATTGGCATGAGACTGAATCAGTTCTCTGTTGCCTTTGGAATTATCGCAGAGATGCCTTTCTCTCTTACTGTTCCACCCTTCTTCCCGAGGTGGCAAATAATGTTTCTCCTGTGAGGCTTCAGAGGGAAAATGTCATGCTGATGGTCCCCTTAGCTTATTCCTGAGCAGTGCGATACTAGGTGGCTCTTTTTCTTTTTTATTTGTTTTAAAGGAAGGGTCTTATGTAGCTTGGGTTGGTCTCCAACTTGCTAGGTCTCCAAGGATGGTCTTAAACTCTTAATCCTCCTGCCCCTACATCCTGAGCACTAGCATTATAGGTGTGTACCAGCATGCCCAACTCCTTTGACTCTCTTATAGCACACTCCTGGGTTTCATTGCTGGTTGTTAGAAGCTGTTGTTGGTAAGTAGCATTTGCGTTTCCCAGAAGACAACTAAATGAATCATCCACTGTGCCACTGTGTTGTGGTGTGTTCCCCATATGGAACCTGCAATTGCTTTATGCGGATAGAAGAGTGTTCTTTTTTTTTTTTTTTTTTTTTTTTTTTTCACTGTGAGGACTGGTATGGATTTACTGGTTCAATGGAAAGCTAAGAGCTGCCCTGATACAGAAACCACACTCACTATTATGAAGGAGAGGGCTCAGTTGGTTCTTCTAAACCAGACTGCACCCTTCAATGGTTGTTTCCTGCCTTTGGCTGCAGTATCTTGTAAAAGGGAGTGGCCCCAGGAAGCTGCCCTGCCTCTGTTTCCAGTTGTCTGCCTGTCCCGCCATTTTGTGGGGCACAACCTTGGATTCAGGCTTTCTGTTTTGGGTTCAATTTGAACTGCTCTAAATTCTTTTGCATGTCATGCTGATGCTCCTGTGGGCTCCGGGTCCCCTTCCTGACCACAGGGCTGGCTCTGCCTGCTCAGAGATGCTGTTAGCCCATGCTCCTCCCAACCCTGCCTGCTCATCTGCTGTGCAATCCATTCATGCTTGCTTTGGGTTCTTCACTTTCCTCTTGTCCAGCAGGGGATGAGCCCATTTTCTGCCCTTTCCTGAGACTTGCTTTTCAGTGCTAGCTTCCTGCTGATTGTCTATCAAATCCACCTCCAATCTGAATATCCAACAAGTTACTTGTAATGAAGAGTCAGGAATTTGAGCAGTTCCTGTAAAGGCAGAGCTGAGGTCACACTATGGGCCCTTGGGTGCTCTTTATATTTCTATGGTATCCATCTCCTCTCTCCTTGTACACACACAGAGGTCTCTAACACAGAAAATGACAAGGATGGATTGGGTCAGGGATTCCATTTAGTAAAGACATCAGCCTCTAGTCCTTAAGACCTGTTGTTTCGGGGCCACTCAGACTATGGTACTTTAATATAGTAGCCAAAGATGACTAATAATTGGTCAGAAATTCTTAGATAGCATTCATAAGACCAGTCCAGTAACTGAGTTCAACCAAGACCTCAGATACAGCCTTTTGGGAAATTGCAAGAGATGGATGAGGAAAGTCATGAGTCAGAGGCCTTTGGTGTTAAGTAGATACATAGTGAGCTCTCCATATTTGCAGAGAAGGTCGAGAGACAAGTTCAGCCAAGATGCATGCCTTCACCCACTACTATGTACAATTGGTGTATACTAATGAAAACATTTGACACAGAATGAAGCCGTGTAACTAAAACTAAAGAGACTAATTTTAGTGCAGTGTGTAAACCAGCTCCGAAAATAATGTCAACAGCTGACACAAGAGTCTTTCATATCTCCTTTTAAACAACTGTTATAAGTAATTTATATATAATAAATCATATGTGTTTCAAACGGAAAAAAATCCAACAACAAAACTTGTGCCTTCAGTGGTCAGAAAAAAATCTATAAAAGAATTGCAGTGATTGGGAGGTGAGGAAATTTTGCAATGAAGGCAAATGTGAGTTTGTTAAAAATGCTTTAAGCCAAGATGCAGTTCCTTGAGGGAGCCATTGCAAGGATTCCTGTGTTACAGAGGTCAGGGTTGCTTATGCAGGAGTTTCTTTCAGTATGATTTAAGTTTGACTCCAAGGTTTAAAGTTGTTCTAAAATATTTCCATTTTAATTAGAATTTTATGTGCATCAGCAACTGCCAAACTAAAAGCTGTGGCCCTCAGAGGAATGGAGAGATGTTGATGTATCTCTTCACAGAACAGACAGATAAAATTCAATCATCAGAACTGATAGCCACTTTCAAAATGAAAAGAAATGGTCATTCCCTCTTATTCCCGTTGGAGGCTAAAGCAATCCTACACTTCTGGGGATTATGAGAGGGAAACAGTAGTGAAGTATGAAGCAAAGATAGGGGGATATTTACTTGCTAGGTTTTGCCATGAAGTATGGGTGTAATGCAGGAAGGATGGGGCTGTTTTCTTCTTATGGTGTAGCAATGAGTATACTGGAACCCAGGGCACCTATACACTGAATAGGGGCTTCAGCACTGAGTTGCTATCCCAGCCAAGAACTTCTTTCCATCATCACCATACTCAGACAATTCTAAATGGTATCAATAATAATCATATGTTCCTCCTTGATGGGAAGCTTACTCATGCTTCCGAACTCTGTCTCAATTCTCCATCATAGTAGGCTACCATGGCAGAGTGCAGCCTTCAGAATAACTGGTTTGCATATGAAATAATAGTTAATATTAAAAGAACAGGACAGAGTTACCAAGTGTACAAACAGTCAATTCACAGAGGAAACATTTTTTGTGTTTGTGAAGTTATTGTGTCTTCAAAGATACTGGTTACCACATAGAAGTAGCCATTAGGACTATAAGATTCAGACTACAGGTTTTATTTGTACCTTGACTATTGCTAGGTAGAATTTTTCTTTGTGACAGTTTCAGGATGAGATTCTATGTTTTGAGAAGGAAGGCAACAACAGACATGGCATTTATTTCTTCCTCAAGGAGGAGGCCCAGTCAAGGACAATAGGGCAAATTAGTCTTTCCCACTTGTTCTTTTGTGTGTTTATGGATGGCCATGTACATGTTTATGTGTGTGTGATGAGTACACATGTGTGTAGGTAAGTGTGTGTGTGTGTGTGTGTGTGTGTGTAGGCTACAGGTAGATGTTCAGCTTTTTCCTCAGTTGCTTGATACATTAGTTTTTGAGTTTGTCTGGGCTATCTGGCAAAAGATCTTCATGGATCTGTCCAGTAGTGGGGTTACAGACATGTGCCACTGTACTCCATTTCTATGTCGACACTGGGGATCTGAACTCAGGTCCTAATGCTTGTGTGGCAGGCACTTTATCAACACGGGCATCTTCCCAGGACCTCCTATTTGTGTTTTGGAAGAAGCTAAATTAAGCTTCTTGAATGATGATGGAACATCTGTTGACATTTGGTGCATAATATATTTTCTTCATCTGTAAGTCAGAAAAATTCCACTCACGGCCATCTTTTCAAAGAGCCACAGAAGCAGTGGAAAAAGATTTATAGGGCATATGGTAGCTCTTGCTTTGGTGAATAGTAAAACTAGCGGATATTTAAAATAGAAATCTGCATTCTGATCAGCACCATGAGGTCATTGGCTGCTTTTGCAGACATACAGGGGAGGAAAGAGAACCCAAGTTTACTATAGCTGGGCTTTCTTTGAAGCCAAAGGCAGCAAGAGATATTTTAAACTGTTAATGTGAAAATGGCCTTATCAGTCAAGACGCATTTTCCTTCTTTCACCACTGGGGAGTGGGAAAAAAAGGAAAAGGATGTCACATGCTCAAGTTGACATTTCTTGGAGGCAAATTTTCTACTTCTGCTTAGTTCATAAGCAGTTGGAGAATGAGTCAGCAAAAGACAAATGACAGAATGAGCCATCACTTTTCAGTGCTGGCATCAGGCTCTCAGAGTGGAGAGCAAATAGGTCTCATGCCTACCTTCAAGTGACAGGGATGGTCACCTATGATTATCTCTGTCACAAGTATATAAAATTGTGAATTT